GGCTGTGCGTGCTCACGGTCCACAGCCGAGGCCGGGAGGGTCCTGGCCTTGAGCACAGTGAGCTTGTGGCTGGGGCTCCGGGCCCACGCTGTGGGCAGGCTCCTCTCAGGAGGTCTGTGAGGAGAGCATCGCCCTCACTTCCCGCAGTGGAGACAGAGCGGGCAGCCAGCAGGTCTGGTGGCAACTGTGCTAAACAGACGTCCATCCAAAAAGTAAGACGAACGTTTCCAGGAAAATAATGCTCTTTAAACAAAGTGCTTTTGAAAAATAAACCGAATGCAATAAATGCTTCTCGGAGACTCTCTGGAGCCCAGAAAAACCAAAGGAATCAATAACCCCCCCGGAGGAGCTCCAGGATCAGGACTGGAGACCAAACCCCCGGGAGCCATCCTGCAGCGGGGAGCCCCCGGGGCCCAGAGAATGCGCTACATTCTTGGATTTCTAAAATAAGACTCGTGACAAGCCTTCCAGTGCCCAAGCAGCTCCGGAGCAGGGGGCGGTGGCTGTGAACCAGGAAGCCGGCAGCCGGCAGCCCAGGGCATAGACTGTCCCGCACGCATGGAGGAAGCGGGTAAGACCATGTAAGCTCCCCGGCTGGGAGGCTGGAGGCAGGAGGAGCTTGGCCACTGCTTCATTTGCTGTTTTATCTTCCTACATCAATACGCCTCATTCGGGGGCTCATGGGCAGTGAAGTGTTTTCTTTACGACCTACAGCATGAGTAAGCGCACGCGGGAGGGTAGAGGGTGTGGTTATGGTTTTCCCTTTTAGACACACAGCAATGCATGTGTGCGTGTCACCATCACAGTTTGCTGTGCGAATTTTTAAAATTTTATTTCATGTATTTGGAAGGCAGAGGGTAAGAGTCAACACTGCTTCATGAAAAACAGTCAAGAAATGACAGAGGGAACATACCTCAAAATGCAGAAGGCTGTGTAAGACAACCCAGAGCGAGGGACAGCATCTTCCCTCCAATCTGGAACATGGCAGGGAGGTCCAGCTTCACCTCGCTTTTGCAACGTAGTATCAGAAGTATTAGAGCAGTAAGGGAAGAGAAAGAAGTGCATTGAAACAGAAAAAGAAGTTACAGTATTTGCTGCCGATCTGATTTTGCATGTGGAAAACCTCACCTTTCCACCAAAAAGCTGTTAGAACCGATAACAAAACGACATAAGTAGAAAACTGAAATTAGATCCCTGCCTCTTACCATATACAAAAATCAACTCAAGATCCATCAAACACCACAACGTAAGACCTGAAACTATGAAACTACTGGAAGAAAACACAGGGGAAGCACGGGGAGACATTGCAGTAGGCAGTGATTCACTAGGTAACTCCCCAAAAGTACAGGCAAGGAAATCCAAACCAGACAAGTGGGAGTCTACCAGACTCAGAGGCTTCTGCACAGCAAAGGAAAGAACGCAGTGAAGGGAGAGCCACAGGACGGGAGAAGATATCTGCAAACTACTTAGCTGACAAAAGATTAAAATCCAGAATGCATCAGAAAAACTCAACAGCAGAAAAACAACCAATGCAGTGCAGAAACCGGAAGGGGCCTGAACAGGTATTTCTCAAAAGAAGAAATACAAATGACCAAAACTGCACGAGAAAAGTGCCTCCTATCACTGGCCACCAGGGAAATCAAAACCACAACGGACATCAGCTCACCCCTATCAGAATGGCTGTTATCAAAAAGGAGAGTGACATATGCTAATGAGGATGGGAGAAAGAAGAATCTTATATACTGTTGGTGGGAATGTAAATAGCGCAGAAAAGTAGAAACGGAACTGCCATATGATCCATCAATCCCACTGCTGGGTGTATACCCAAAAGACACGAAATAACTGTCAGTGACATACCTGCTCCACCATGCTTGCTGTACCACTGTTCACAACAGCCAAGATACGGAGTCAAGTTGTCCATCGTCAGATGAAACGTGTGTGTGTGTGTGTGTGTGCGCGCGCGCATACATACATACCGGGACATATTACTCAGCCACGTAACCATGCAATCCTGGCATTTGTAGCAAATGGCTAAAACTGGAGGCTATCATGTTCCGTGAAACAGACCACACACGGACACACACCACATATCCTCCCTCATACGAAGAAGCGAGAAAAGCCTCGGTCTGAACACGGAACAGTGACTGCCAGAGGCCGCAGGAGATGGTCAGTACAGGGAACTGGGCGACAGGTACCGAACCAGAGTTAGACACTGCCCCCACCCCCGCCCCAGCCAGGAGAGGAATACCCTTCACTGAGAGCAGGCACAGAGAAATATACTGACGTGTGGCCGATTCCACACCAGTTGTTTTAACCGCTGGGAGGATTCCTGACAGCCGAGGACACAGGACGGGGACAAGAAGGTAGGAACCAGGATGCAGCTGCCGCATAGTGGCACCGGCACACTTGCTGCACGTCGCCCTCCTAACCAGACACCGAGGCTGGACACCAGCACCACCACGGCACAGGACTGGACTTCCCGAGCCCCGCTCAGTGACCTGTGAGCCAGGGGCCTCTGGAAAGAAGCCTAGGGATGGGTCTCCAGCCAGCTCCTCGCCCACACTGGCAGGACTCGTGGCAGGAAGGCCGGCAGCAGCTGCCCGTGCACAAGGGCGGAGCAGCAAAGGGCTCCCGCCCGCCCCCGAGCACTCCCGGGCCCGTATGCACCGTGAGCAGGCCCCGCGTTCAACGCTGACGGAAGAACTGCAGGGTGGTGATGGAAGAGCAGTGGACGAGCCACGCTGCCTTCCAGGGGGTGGGGAGGCAGGTGTGCGATGGTCTGGGCCCCAGGACCACACAGACGGCCCTAGCGCAGCTCGGCTTCCCTCGACAGCCGAGGCCTTGACTGTGGTGAGCACCCTCTAGCACCCGGGAGCCCCCTCTCCCGCCCACGACGCCTCTTCAAGTGAGCAACTGGCAGGACAGCGTGTGTGCAAGAGAGAAAAGCCAGTGCTGCACGAGGTCCACATTCGATAGCTGATCAAGGAGCCTGCGGAAGCCGGGCTGATCCGGCAGGGCACCAGGAGTCCTCGCGCTGCCTGCCTCCCCCACACCTTTTTTTAAGCAATTTCCCCGAATGATCTCAGGTGACAACACCAACAGAAGCAGCGGTGTTGGCAAAACGCAACACACAGCCCCTCGGGGTCCCAGCTGCACGCCGGGATTCTGCCCACCTCTTCCCTGGAGACAGAACTTGGACTCACGCAGCATGCGGTCATTCAGTGCGCTGGCCCAGGAAGGATTTGCTGTCCCCAGGCCCCGGGTCCCGCCCACCTGTGACAGTCACAGAAATTGCCCTGAGTGACGTGGGAAACACACCGAGGGAATCTTCGGAAAATCCCCTAGTATTCAGAAAAGCGCTCTAGGGCCTCGTTATTTCAGACGGGACCACTGGCTGTTTATGACGCGAGTTGTTCAGTGCCCGCTGCCAGAAGCCGCGCGGTGGAGAAACTGCGCTTCGTACCCACCGGTCCGGGACACAGCTGGCGCGTCGCCGGGTACGGCTGGGTCTGCGGGGGACAAGGCAGCTGGATTCTACTCCTCTCCAAACGTGTCTGTGTGGACAGTGCCCCTCACCCTGCACGGGGCTTCTTGCCAAAGCTCCATCTGTGACTGCAGCAGAGCCACTGTCAGACTGCACTCGGGACAGGTGGGTCCCACTCATGCTCAGAACCCCAATGTCAGAAGGCATGTGTGTGTCTCTGTCCCCGTCTGTGTGTGTGTATCTCCCGTGTGTGTGCACCCTTGCATGTCTGTATGTGTCTTCTGTGTCTCTGTGTTTGTGTGTGTCCCTGTCTGTGTGTGTATGCATCTGTATGTGTCTCCTTTGTCTCTGTGTGTCTGTGTTGTGTCTGCTTCTAGTATCTCTGTGTGTGTCTGTATCTCTGTGTATCTGTGTCTCTGTATCTGTGTGTGTCTTGTGTCTGTGTGTGCTCGCTTTCTATGTGTCTCTCCTGTGTCTCTGTGTGTCTCTGTGTCCGTGTATCTGTGCATGTCTGTGAGTGTCTCTTGTCTGTATGCTTTCTGTGTCTCTGTGTCCGTGTATTTGTGCATGTCTGTGAGTGTCTCTTGTCTGTATGCTTTCTGTGTCTCTGTGTCTCTGTGTGTGCTTTCTCTGTGTCTCTCCTGTGTCTTTGTGTCTGTGTCTCTATGTCTCTGTGTATCTGTGCATGTCTGTGAGTGTCTCCTGTCTGTGTGTGTTCTCTGAGGTTCTGTGTCTCTCTTGTGTGTCTGTGCATCTGTGTATGGGTGTCTCCTGCATTTCTGTGTCTGTGCGTGTGCATCTGTGTGTCTGTGTGTCTGCACGTGTGCTGTGTCTGAGTGTGTGAGCTCCCTGACCAGAGGTGGAAGTGCGAGCCAGTGTCCCGACTGTGTCGCTGGGAACAGCTCTCTGTTGCAGCCAGCTCTCGGTCCCTCTGTGTGCTGTGACAGCAGCCCTCGCCTCCCTCTGCGTCCCATCAGGAGGAGTGGGGTCCGTCCCACAAACACAGACACGCCTCAGCCCATCCCACAAACACAGACAACACGCCCCAGCCCGTCAGGAGGAGTGCAGGCTGTCCCACAAACACAGACACACCCCAGCCCATCAGGAGGAATGGGGGCTGTCCCACAAACACAGACACGCCCAGCCCATCAGGAGGAGTGGAGGCCGTCCCACAAACACAGACACGCCCAGTCCGTCAGGAGGAGTGCAGGCTGTCCCACACACACAGACACGCCCCAGCCCATCAGGAGGAGTGGGGGCTGTCCCACAAACACAGACACGCCCAGCCCGTCAGGAGGAGTGCAGGCTGTCCCACAAATACAGACACGCCCAGCCCATCAGGAGGAGTGGGGGCTGTCCCACAAACACAGACACGCCCAGCCCGTCAGGAGGAGTGCAGGCTGTCCCACAAACACAGACACGCCCAGCCCGTCAGGAGCTCCAATCAGAAAGCACGCAGCTCTCCCAGGCCTCAGGGCACCCCTGCGGCGGCAGCTTTGAAGAAGAGTTTACTCACGGAACTGCTCCAGGTGGTCAGGGCTGTTGGACGCGGGCATGGCGGTGATGGTCACCAGGGGACACGGGTTCCCGCCCAGCGTGTGGCAGAGGACCTCCCGCCGGAAGTAGACCTGCCTCCGGTCGACGCTTCTTTCCAGCAGGTCAAGGTGAGTCTGGAGCAGGGACAGAGCAGGCAGCACGGTTTTCACGGGTTCGGTAACACAGGCAGCAACAAACAGGAGCCGCTGACGTCGGCGGGCTCCTCGTGGACGAGGGTTTCTGTGCACCTAATCCGCCCAGCATCCGCGGGCCCGGAGTCACTGGCACGTGTGGCCCTTCCACCTGGACGGCGCGGAGGCTGGGGGCTGTTTTCAGGTGGCACTGAATGCCCGAGGGTAGGACCCCAGCCCTGTCACCCGGAAGACAGAGCACCCCAGGCCAGGGAGCACACAGGAGGGAGGCGGGCAGCGGCTGCCCCGGGGCTTGCTAAGCTGACGGATGACCGGATGACCGGCTAGGACCAAGCATCGTTCCCAATACCTGCAGGACTGCAGGTAACGCACAGACAGGACAGGACAGCCGGTGACACACCTGCGAGTCCTCTGAAGCGACTCACTGACCAAGGCACCAGGACTAGCCACGAGGAGGCCAAGGCTGCCCACTGCCCTGCGTGCTCACGGTGCCTTCAGCACCAAAAGTCATCGCCCCGGACGTCAGGGCACGAATTGCCTTCCCATCTAAGAGCAAAAGATCCCACCACCAGCAGGGAGGGCCTCCCTGGGCCAAGGAAAAAGCACTCGTCTTGTTTCTTGACAAATAACAAGCTGCACAACAAACCAAAGAGCCCCATAGGAATCTTTAGGAATCTTACAAAGATATTTATAAGATAGTCATGAATACGTCACGATAAAAGGAGTCATGTCCCCAGCAGGCAGTGCCAGTGTTCACGGGGGGACGGGTGAGCTCCAACGCGCTGGGCAGAACCCAGAGCCTGGCTCTGTGCTCCCTCGCACAGTGCAAGTTCACACACACACAAGTTCAAGATCAAGGTCAGCCTGAGATGGGAGGTGGCCCGCGTGACCCACGGGCCCAGCCCTCACAGGTGATTAGCGCAGACTCTGTCCTGGCTGCAGAGACCCAGAGACGCAGCACACGGAGGACTCAGGCAGCCAGCGGGGCCCCAGGGCAAGCCAGGCCGGTGGCCTCGGGAGCAGGAAAGGCAGGAAGTGGGTCTACCCCCCAGCCTCCAGAAGGGACCAGCCCCGACACCAGTCTTTGCCCAGTGAGATCCTATCAAACTTGTAACAAAACTAAACATCCCAGAATTGCACAGACTGGACCAGGTTGTACGTGTATTGTCCTGGGACATCTGAGGTGCACAGGGAAAAACATGCAAAGGAAAGAGACCACCAGGTGACTCCACGGCCTTTCTTCTGGACTCAGGGGCACCGGACACTGGGACCCCGAGTCACTCTCACCTGCCACGGAGGACCACACCCATCTGCCCACACGCCTCCTGCGTGCTGAGCGTGACTTCTTTGTTCCCGGCCACCATCAGTGTCACCTCACTACTCCCAGAAACTTACCCAGGAAGGGACGAGTCACAGGTGGACTTCGCGCGTCCCAACTTTTCAGCAGAATGAACCAAGTCTGACCCAGGATCCGGGACCCCTCCGCACGGCATCCCCGCCTGGCGCATCCCAGTCACCTCATGACCCTCACCAGCCCCAGTCAGCCCCCACGTTAAAGCACCTGTCTCGGTGAGCATCCCCTCTCGGCCTCCCGCGGGAGGCGCAGCCAAGGTTCTGCCTCTTTCTTCCTCCCCCGCCCCCCCAGTGTGTTGGTTTTCCGCTACTGCCACAGGCAATTATCAGAAAGCCGGCAGACTGTGAGAGCTCAGACTGACTGCCTTCCAGCCTGCAGGCTTGGCGGCACAAGCCATGCCTCTCGCAGCCTCTCAGGCCGCCAGCATTCCTTGGCTTGGGGACTCCCCCTCTGCCGTCACAGCCAGAGCCTGCATCACGTCGGCCTCTGCGCCCACGGCATCACCACGTGTCCCGCCCCTCCGCAGCTGGACCCTCTGGCCGCAGCCCTGCACTTTCAAGGGGCTCTGTGAGTGCCCAGGTGGTCTCCCTGTCCCAGAAACCACCTGTGCATCCTCACGGCTCCGGCAGTCAGGATGTGGACGCCTCGGCAGGCCCTTATTCACGCCAAGGTGAGCAGTAAACTCGACTCGGCCTTAGAAGGAGGCTGCCTGTGAGACTCCGAGGAGGCGGGGCTTTGAGTGCAGAGGAACAGTGAGCAGGTCTCTCCCAAAGTCAGAACAAATGGAAATCAGCCAGGGCCGCGGCGCTAACCAGTCTTCATACTTCATTATCACGGTTGGGAATTAAGTGATGAGTACCAGGTATGGAGGGGCTCCTACCGCCGAGCAGACAGGGGACTGCACGGGCTCTTGTACACGTGCACACACACACACACACACACACACCGGAGCTGCCCTATCTGCTAAGTGTGAGAGCTTCGGAAACCCAGGGCTGACGGCCTCCCTAGGCTGCAGCGGCCCAGGCCTACATAGCCTCATCTCTCAAGACCACACAATCCCCTGGTGACAACACTGGATCCAAGGAAGTCGTGTCTGGGGGTCCCAAAGCCGTGACCAAACTCGTCCCGTGCGTGCTGGGCGGTGTCGACTCTGCACCCTTTTTCGGGGAGGAGCGGCCTGGATCTGGGTAAAGCCGGGTCCGTGTGTCTCGTCGTCAGTCTCCATCCAGCACCACTGCTCCTTGTTCAGCAGAATGGGCTTGGCGCTTCCATTTAGATTTTTAAAGTGTGTACGTGTGTGTGAGAGCTTGTCCCTACACAAAGAGTGTGTGTGTGTGTGTGTGTGTGTGTGTAAGCCACCATCCCTCCATCCAAACACAGAAGTGTAAGGGCAGAGGGAGAGTGACCGAGCCCACTGCGCCTGGACCTACACACAACAGCTCTTTCCAGAAACTCACTCTCGGGGCTGCTGCTGTGGGGCAGTGGGTTACGCCACCATCTGCGGCGCCAGCACCCATATGAGCACCGGCTAGAGTCCCAGCTGTGCCGTTTCAGATCCAGCTCCCTGCTATGGACTGGGAAGGCAGTGGAAGATGGCCCCAGCCCTTGGGCCCCTGCACCCACGTGGGAGACCTGGAAGAAGCTCCCGGCTCCTGGAGTCAGCTTGGCCCAGCCCTGGCAGCTGCAGCCATGTGTGAAGCGAACCAGCGAACAGAAGATCTGTTTCTCCTTCTCTGCCTCGCAAATAAAGTAAACCTTTAAAAAAAAAAAAAACTCATCTTGGCTCCTACTTCTCCCACGACGTGGACGCTGGGAAGGGGAGCGCTTAGGGCTCAGAGCTGCAAAGCAGCGAGGATCGCAGTCCAGTGCCAGTGAGCCCGTACACAGCCGGACGTCGCTCGTGCCAGCTCAGGCCAGAGCCCAGGAGCACAGAACCCCGCACACCAGCTGCCCCTGGTCAGGAGAGCACCACAGACCAGGCCCACAGGCTCCGTCTCAGTGACCATGAGAAACACAGCTGCTGCACCATGCAGACATGAAAACTAACCGAGGGATAAAGTACACATTACCAAATACTGATGGCATCACAAATGGGAAACACACGGACAAGGGAGGAACCCAGGGACAGAGGGACGTTTGTCTTTCGTAGACCTGGCAGGATCACTTAATTCTTGGAAATGCGAGAGCAGCAGAGCAAGTGGCCACAGGCAGGCGCATCCACTGCACACTCGCCTTCCAGCGGCAGAGCCCGGGCAGGCTCCGGGAGTTCCTCACCTCACCCCTGTGTGACTCGGTGGCTGCACACTCACTGTGTGACTCGGTAGCTGCACACTCGCCTTCCGGCGGCAGAGCCCAGGCAGGCTCCGGGAGTTCCTCACCTCACCCCTGTGTGACTCGGTGGCTGCACACTCACTGTGTGACTCGGTGGCTGCACACTTGCCTTCCGGCGGCAGAGCCCAGGCAGGCTCCGGAGTTCCTCGCCTCACCCCTGTGTGACTCGGTGGCTGCACACTCGCCTTCCGGCGGCAGAGCCCAGGCAGGCTCCGGAGTTCCTCGCCTCACCCCTGTGTGACTCGGTGGCTGCACACTCGCCTTCCGGCGGAGAGCCCGGGCAGGCTCCGGAGTTCCTCGCCTCACCCCCGTGTGACTCGGTGGCTGCACACTCGCCTTCCGGCGGCAGAGTCCGGGCAGGCTCCGGAGTTCCTTGCCTCACCCCTGTGGGACTCGGTGGCTGCACACTTGCCTTCCGGCGGCAGAGCCCGGGCAGGCTCCGGAGTTCCTCGCCTCACCCCCGTGGGACTCGGTTTTCTCATCTCTAACTTGGGTGTGGGAGGAGCACTCCCAGCGCTGTGCGGTGGCTGCTGTACTTCATCTAACGACAGCGAAGCCCTGCTGGGTGTCAGCTGCTCCTGTCGGCGGGGAGATGCCAGTGCAAACAGATTGTTTTCCAGACCTGGAAGGGAAGCCCTGGTGTAACTGCAAACATCAAGGAGAAACGTCAGAGGAAACGCGACCCACGCTGCAACAAGAAAAACCAGCACGAAAGCGTGGAAGATCGCGTGGAAGATGGCGTGGAACCGAAACAGCAGAAGGAAAGCAGAACTTGGTACAAACAACAGGTCAGTCGGCCTGGTGCAATGGCACGACTTTGAGGACTCTTCAAGTCCCAAGAGACACTTTCAGAGAGCGATAGCAACAGGATGCGTAGGAGCCCCCTAATCTGCTTCCGCTCCGACATGAAAGGAGAACGCTGGAGCTGCATGTCGGCAAACACCAGCTAAAGCAGGCACGGCCACCGCATGGCCACAGTCAAGATCAAGGGCATTAAACGGGATTTAAAAATCTTACTCTGAGAAAGGGCACGATTCACGATGAACATATAAAACTCATAAATCTTAAGAAGCAAATCACATGGGATTAAAAGATATGCACAAAAATGGCAGGGGAAAAGTCGTACTCAGAGTGGGAGCCCTGAGGACAGCAGCTCAGTCATGCACGAATCAGAGCACAAAATGAGGGCAGAGCGCACGGCCCGGTCCCGTTTCCGTGGCCGGGAGTCAGGCTCGGTCTTCAGAGCACCCTCCACCTCCCCACACAGCCGTGGGGCTGGAACACACTGCAGCGCCCG